AATGGATGAATCAACCTGATGGCAACAGAACTGATGAATTTTGACATAAGTAAAAAATGGGACACCAGATAATATTGCCGCCAATGTAACTGTAATGCAACAGGAAGGACACCATGCCACCAATAAAGTATTCTTGCAGGGAGTGGGATAGGGAGGACCTGAATTGAGTCAAGCCTCTAGATCTGACTACTAATTTACAGAAAACAGGGGGGAGATGAAGAAACTGACACCATAAGGATACTTCCTGATGAATCCAGAATATGGGATGTTCTGTGAATAAACGATCCAGTTTTTCATTTTTTTTTTCTTCTTTACAGGGAGTTGTTTAAAAGAGACTTAAAGCATACCAAGGAATGCAATGAACATTGTTTTTTGATTCAAACTTTGTAAAAGACACTTTTGAGACAACCTGAGAAAATCATATACAGACTGGGCATAGATATTAAGAAATTATTGTCAATACCACATTAAACAATATCACGCTAATATCATATTAATGATATTAACAATATTGTGATATTGTCAATATCACTTTAATATCACATTAACAATACTGACAATAGCACATTAACGATATTAATGCGGCATTGTGGTTTGTTTTTTTAAAGGTGTCCTTCTCTGTTACCATGCACATTAAAATGTTTGAGTGACATGAACCTAGGATTTGTTTTAAAGTACTTTAAGGGGAAAAGGGTGTGATAAATAAAACAAAATGAGCAAAATGTCAATATCTGTTGAAGCTGATATTAGGTAGGAATTTGTTACACTGGTCTATTTCTATGTATGTTTGAATTTTTTCATTAAAAAGAAAAGCTGAACTTCGGAAAAAACTAACTGAAGATGATAGCAACCCAATGACCTCAGGACTACTGAAGACCCAGACTCCTCACGTTCCAATCACCCAGCAGCTGAGGGGCTGGCAGAGGCTAACAGAAATTGGAATGGTTAGTAAAGAATGTTAAACAAATATCACCCACAGCCTCGTGGCCAGGTACAAAAACAAGAACCATAGCAACCATGTATATTTTATTCCACATATATTTGTAGATATGCACCAGTTTTTCTCCTACTTTCCCCTATTGATTTACATAGGATAAAATTTAGTCTTTGTGATACCAAATACCCAGGTGAGATCATAAGTGAACTAGAGGTTGGTATATCACCCGGAAATGGACATAATGACTAATGGATGGGACCAGTGGATATGGTGTTCCCACTCAATAATCGTTCAGTAACTGTACCTTCCCCTATTTTGCCCCTACCCCTTCCAACACCAATTCTTTTTCTTTTTGTTTTTAAACATATCTTTTGATTATCTACTCGTGTCTGTTTGATGATAGGTACTTGACCTGCTTAAGGCTCCATTTCATGTTTCCGAAGTCAGAGAATCCAGGTAGATGACTCGGTCTCTATACGAGGGCTCACCATGCTTGCATTTCAACTTGGGTCTCCTTCGGTAAAACTGCAAAGAGTTACTTGTCATGCACCACCAAGGAACCAAGTGCCAGTAGTAGTCCACTGCTGCACACACAACTCACACTCACACACTAGGAGGTTACAGGTAAATGAAACCTCTCAGATCTGCTAGGCCGGTTGGTCCCCACTTAAAAATAATTCCCAGTGCAGAGCCCCACCCCAGATCAGAAACTCTTGGACATGAAGCTCAGGGATTAATTTTTATTTCAAGTTCCTCAGATAATCTGGGCCAACCCCTTTGTGTGACATGAGGAAATTGAGACCCAGGGACAAGACAGGAAGGACCGTTTAATAATGGCTGGTGCTCGGCCGGCCCGGTGGCGCACTGCTATAGTGTGCCGCTTGGGAAGCGCGGCGGCGCTCCCGCTGAGGGTTCGGATCCCACATGCAGACCGGTTCCCGCTCACTGGCTGAGCGAGGCACGGGGGCAACACCAGGGGCTGTGATCCCGTTGCCGGTCCCGGTCCGGTACGGGGGCGACACTGAGGGTTGCAATCCGTTGCCGGACACGGAAAAAGACAAAAAATAATAATAATAATGGCTGGTGCTAAAATGCGGTCTCCTGGAACCCACACCACATTACTTCTTTGCATTAATTTTAAGATATCTAAAGAGGTAGTTACCCCTATTTAATATGCTCTACTACAACTATATATGTGCCCATAAATGCCCTTCTCACTTGCAAAATGGCCTACAAATAATATTTATCAAGCACTTAAGTGCTGGGAACTGCACTACATAATTACATTTTAAGTTATTGATCACAACTCCCTGACAGTTCTCATTTCATAAACAGGGAAACAAATACAGACAGAAACTTGTCCCAAAAACGTGATGAGACCAACATTCAAATCTGACAGCTTGACTCCAGGGCCCCCATTAACAAAACTCCCAGTTTCACTCCATAGGGTACTTAAAAAAAACACAAACCCCAGATTCTACATAGAATTGAAAAATACTACAGACAGCAAGGTTGAGCCTTCAGAAGCAGCTCCAGTATCTGGCTCCACACAAGAACAGAAACCAGAGCCTATTCTGAGTCCCCTCATTGGGAAAGAAGTCCCCAGGCCTACCTGAGGCAGCCACTAAGATTCTTTTCCCACGGTCAGAGTGTACAAACTCAATTATCCCAAGTTTTCCCATTTCAAAACAGAAGACTGAACAGATGACTATAACAGAGACTGCAACTGCCAATGCAATGTCCATTCTCCCTATTTTTTAGCAACAGAATCCCAATGGCATTTAGGATGGCAAAGCACTCAACTAAAATCCTAAAATTTCTAGTCTTTCTTTCATAACTATAGTTCTATATCTACAGTTTAACCAATAACACTTAAGATGTTGTGTAGGGCTCCCAAAAAAGCTCCTTAAAGGGGGCTGACTATGCACTCCTTTTGCCTCATCCCACTCCTTCCTCCTGCCTGAAATATGGGGATGATGGCTGGTGCTCTAGTAGTCACCTTGGACCATAAATGACCTTGTGGATGAAGCCACGATCAGGACTGATGAAACAGAAAGAACCCAGATCCTTGAACCACCATACAATTCACCCACATACCTCACATTTTACTTGGGATATAAACTGCCTTGTTAAGTCATTGTTATTTCATGTATTGTTATATGCAACCAAACCTAATACCAACCCACCAACCATTTTCAGGACCATTTCTCATGCTAAAAGAGGAATTCAAAGAAAAAAAGCAATTTGCTGCCAAAGGGAACTAATCTACTACTCCTACCCTTGGGGGGACAAGTAAACAATCCTTAAGAAGTGATGCCTCTGCTTCTTAAGATCAGTTGGATTGAACTGAGTGTCCAGATTGTGAGCTCCACGCCCATAATGTCATCACTTTGTGAGCAATGAAAAGGGAGGCAATGACAGCCTTTAGGTTGCAAAGCAGCTATTAGGGAAAGCCCATTTCTCTTCCTTCCCAGTCATCTATGTGCTGTTTCTCCCATATGGTAAACCATAGCTATGACTGTTACTTTAGTTGCAATTAATTCCTGGAGGGAAACACTCCTCTTGAAGACTTGAGGCTCCCAGGCCAGAACGAGCACTAGCAAAAACTGTGTAAGCCCATTATTCTCAGGAAATCTAACATCTGTAAAAATGAGAATCATACATGTGGCTGCTTCAAGGTTCCAGACTGCCCAAGGTCCCAGCAAGCACTGCAGTTTCCTCACCAAGAATTGACTGAACTCAAGCAGGACCAAAGCCACCCTCCAGAGTTGGGCTTCTGTGGTGGTGGTTGTTCTAAGAAACCCATCAACTATGAGGCCAACTTCCATTTGGAATGTGCTCTGGTTGTACCATACTCTAAAATGTGCACGCCTGCTGCTCTTTTGAGGAAGCTCTATTTGACACACTGGAAGCACAGTGTAGAAATATTCATTTCAAAGGACCACTTCTGTTTAATTAAAGTCACACACAGACTTGTTATTTTTATTAATAATGCAGAGAGGAGAACTTTGTATAAAACTACCAATTCCATCACCAGGTCAATTTTAAAATAGGGAGATACACACACACACACACACACAAATTGTGTTATGTGTGTGTGTGTGTGTGTGTGTATACTATAATTAATTAAGCCTTCCTAAGAGCATGGCCCCAGCTGACATCTGACCACAATCACAGGAGACCCCATGAAAGAACCACCCAGCTGAGCCCTCCCCAAATTCTTGACCCACAAATTTACCAACAAAATGAAGTTGTTGTAAGCCAATTTGGAGGTAATCTGTTATGCAGCAACAGTAACCAGAACACCAACTATTTCGGGGAAAGTCTCCATAATCAAACTATTTTGTCTGGAGACGTTTTTTAAATCTCCAAATTAAAAAAACTGAAAACAAATAGTGTACAAAACAAATACTTTAAAACTCTGGAAGAGTTAAGAAAATCTGGGATTAAGTTTACAGAAGGCAATAAGAAAATAGTGGCTATAATTGGAAGAGTGAACAAATGAGATTATGAGAGAGAATAGAATTAAGAGAGACAGAAACAAACATTCCCATGGAAGAGTGATTTCTTTCTTTCCACTAAGTGAGAAATTCTTCAGACAGAAGCAAGTCTCCTGGTTAAGCAAATGGAATGTTCCATGACTAAAATGACTTTGTTCTCCCATCTGCCCACTCCACTCTCAATTATTTTTTAAATTTATTTTTATTTTTCCTGAACAACCACATAGTATAGTTTAGAAGATGTGGGTAGGCTCTGGAGGCGCATATTCAGAGGGGATGTGTCTGGGGGTGAGGGCAGGTGCCAATCCACAGGTCAGCAGAAAGGAACAGTCAGAGGAGGAAAGATATTTGGTTAAACTTACTGATGTTTACCTTAACCTCTACGTTCTCAAATACAGAACCAGCCAGTGTTCCACAGCCTGGCATAAAAAGCCATGGCTGCTTCCATGTCTCAGGTGCTTGGGGGCCTGGAGATTTTCCATGGTGCCAAGAGGAACAGTTTGGTCTAAAAAGCCTCCACAAAGGCGGGTACAAGAGTTGTGCTCAGATAGAATACAACCAGGTTTTATTTAAGTTCGTTTTTATTTTCCTCCACACTGGCAAAAGTTCCGAGGGAGCATAAAGTTTTGTAAACATTTTAACTATCCCTCTTTCCCACCCCCCACTTTTGAATTTACAAAGCAAAGGAGAGTAGGAGTCCCAGTTTTTAATGGTTCCCCATCTCCTCATGCTATTTGATCCGAAAACTATATACAAGTTTGTAGCAGTCTCTGTATAGTTATTGTACATGTTTAGAAGGGAGGGAGACAAGAAGGGATAGGGAGAATGGTGATCCAAAATAAAAATAGAAACCAAATATAATCCTCTCAGAGCAACTCCAACCTTCTTCAGGCAACGATGACAGAAAGAAAAGGTGTTTTACTCAGGAGCCACCCAAACCGCAGCACCTTTTCCACAGGCACAGCCAGCCCAACAGCTCCAACCAAAGTGTGACTAGCAATTCCAGGTGATGTTCTGTGGGGGTCTGCTGGAGGCAGGAAGAGTCCTTGTTTATAAATAGGGCTTGAGTACATTTCTACTTGAAGGGAAAGGGTGCTAGGAGGTTGCACCCAGAAGCCAGACCAGGCTTCCCTCTCCCATTCTCGCCCATCCCTCCATCCCACTGCATCCTCCTGTATAGTGGTTTCCGCGGATGAAGGTCTTAAAGGTGGTCAGGTTTTGTATGTTCTTTTTTCCGAAAAGGAAAGCAACTTGCCATCCCAGAATCTTTAAACAGAACCTTTTTGGGGCCACAACAAGACACGTACACAATGCTCTGAGGAACCAGATGAAATTCCGGGCTTTTATCGGAAGCAGAAGTTTATCCCTACCCAAAATGAAATTATACAAATTCATACATATGGTAAAGATCCTAGCTGCCTCTTAAACGAGACAAATTTTCAGCAGAAGGGCCCAAAACGAACTGGTCCTAGTCCTCTGAAGTAAAAATATTTATGGGAAAAATCAGTTTTTGTAAGAAACAAAAATGAAGAGTAAGTCCCTCTCCCAGGCCATAGGGTTTCCTTTGTCCAATCAGGTTGGAGTATGCCAGGGGAGAAGTCAGCTTGCTTGGAAGTCACTATCTAATGAAGAAAAACATGAATCCTTTCCCCGAAAGGATGCTCAGAAAGAACAGGCGAGGGGTGTGCAACATCAAACCAATCCAATCTAAACTCCACCCCGCTCAGGGCCTCTTTGATGCAATCCCAAGGTTAGCAGTGGCAAGGTAACCTTCAGACTGGGAGAGCTCTGACTCTCTGTAGGACATTCCAGTGACAGTCCATGGGGCATGGTGTTGCTGGCCAATGTCTGTTAACCAGTAACTCTCTTCATGATTGCAACAATTAGACCACTTGTATTTATGGGGGGAAAAGGAAGAAAAAAAACAAAACAAAACAAAAATAGAAGGAAAAAAGTGATAAAAGTAAGCTGTTTTTGGCAGATCCCAACACACCTTCTGGGAGACACTAGATGAAATCACGGCACAGTGAAAACGTGCTGCCCAAAATCAGCATTGTTGGGGAGTAATCCCAACTGCCACCCCCAAGACACAGGGTCTGGTCCACTTATCTATAGTCTGAGATGCTCACCAACAAAGACGGTTTAAAGAATCTTGGACACAAGGGCTAGAAGAAAAAGCCTGAGATGATTGGTTCTGTGATTTGTTGCAGAGTGATAAAGTGTAAATGGTGAATGAGTGTTGTGTCCAAAGGTGGAGAATCCACAGTCGGCAGAGAGAAGAGGGAAGGCCAGTCCTCTGGCAGGCGCTCAGTAGTCATCCAAAGTCTCAATCTCACCCATATTGAGTCGCTCTGATGATGCATTCACCGAAAACCCTGCAGGAAAAAAATTGGCTATGAGTGACCACATCCAGACAACCAAGTGACTCAAATTCTAGGTAGTGGCTGGAATATGAGTCTCCTGTTTTTTAGCATACCACAGGGGTAGTAAAGGGAGACAGAAGAAAGAAAGAAAAAGGTCACAGCAGTGGTTTTGTAATCTTCCAGTGAGAGATTCTTTGTTTTATTTTTTAGGATTTGGGGAGGAAAACAAAACAAAACAGCACCACCACTTAAAAAGAATTGCAAGCCACTGCCTTAGAGAATCTGAGAAGAGACAGGTGCATGAGTGTATGTTAAGGACAGGCCAGGCTGGCCCTGGGGAGAGTTCATTCAGGAGGTATACCTTAAAAGAAATGGGTGGAGGTGGGAGGAAATAATAGCACTAAGTACTTTCTAACTACTTGACAGTATGACTTTGAAATTTGAATGGGATTAATACTCCTTCAGCCCTACACTTACTTTAATGGGAATACTTTTTCCCATTGGTCAAAAACTTTATGAAAGTTCTGGCCAGGAGCTTTTGCTATTCAGAGGAGGGGGGCCTCAGAGAAGATCCAGTACTACATCCTTGGAGCCCTCACCAGTTCTTCCTATCACACAGTAGACAGAACACAAAGATTAAAGTACTTTATTCAATATAATCTGCTGTGAGTAGATCTGCAAAGGAAAAGATTTCAGTTAGCAATATTTGATCAACCAAAATGGAATCTGGTTTAGAAAAAGCAGTACTAGCATACCCATTGAAGGCCACAAGCAGTACGCACAAACTCTAATGACATTTGAAAACCTAAAGCCAGTGGACACATACATGTAATTTTTCAATAAACTTCATAATCAGAGGTTGATAAAAGCTATAACAAACAGAGCCTCTTGGAGTGAATGACTCCCCAAAATCTTTCCAGTTCATCTGCTCTGAATGAAATCCTAAGCTGTTTGAGCTACTATTTGAATACCATAAGTAAACAGGTGATGTGTTCCATTCTAAAAGTAGTTCTGTTAATATTAGCTGGGTTTTTCTGCACCTTTTTTGTTCTTTAATGTTGAGGTTCTCAAACAAATACAAATTAGAAATGTACCAATAATAAACAAAAATGTCTTACATAATAAAAACAGCTCAAAATATCATGATTTGAAAAAACAAACACGCCTATTTATTAACCAAGACAGCTGTGGTACAAGTTGCTTACAAGGCCTAACACAGGGAGAGGCTAGAATTCCAAACCCCATCCTGAGTTCTACTCCATCAACTATGTTTCCATAATGGGCAAGACTTCTTCCCTTGAAAATAATGAAAGGCTTAGTTGTTCACATTTTTAAAGTAATAGTTTAATTAGGTAAGTACAAGAATCTAAAGACCATTTTTTGAAGTGAACCATTAATCTATTCTGAGGCAGTTTGTTTTTTTACTTCAAATATATCTCAAGAATAGATGAAATGGGATAAAAACAATAATGAGCAACACAAGTGGGAATATAATTAAAAAACTAAAGTAATGTTAATCATACAAAGACAGCAAGGGAAAAGTCTGGTGCCAAAAAAAAAAAAAAATCATTATTCAAGGCTATAATATTTTGATTACTATGCTAGGCTTTTAACAAATGTGGTCTCACTTCACTATAATGAATGAATGAATAAATAAATAAATAATTTTTTGAAGTGAACCATTAATCTATTCTGAGGCAGTTTGTTTTTCCCCCCCCCCCCCCTCTCAAGAATAGATGAAATGGAAAAGTCTGGTGCCAAAAAAAAAAAAAAATCATTATTCAAGGCTATAATATTTTGATTACTATGCTAGGCTTTTAACAAATGTGGTCTCACTTCACTATAATGAATGAATGAATAAATAAATAAATAAAACAGTAAGTTGTGTATTTATATTCACAACTCAACAGAAGGGAAAGCTCTGGGATACCATGAAACCCAAGGCAACACAAATGAGGATTTAACCCATTGTGCCTGGCTCAAAACACCACATTCTGTGAGGTTCAGAACAGAGTCTCACTCACATGACTTCTTTTAAAGTTTGAAACTGTTCTTGTAAGGAAAATCTGGCTGGGGAAAAACTATATTGTGTGTGTGCATATTTCCCACATCCAAGCGCAGTTTGCTGGTTTCAGTGGCTGCCTGGGAACTCTTTGAGTACAATGGAGGATATCAATAATTAAAATGAAGCCAGGGCTCCCTCTACTGGTTTGTTTTAGAAGCAATGTTCTCTTTTGATTTGTAAACTGCTTTTTCAGTGGATACTTTTAGATCAAATTAGAACCTATTTTCCCAATTTGAGCATGCAGAACCTGTGACTGATGGATAGTTATTAATTTTTCTCTACCTGTAAATCTATAAGGAATATATGTTAAAAAATAATATATGAAAATGAGTAGGTATGGGACAGAAATTATCAATTACAGAGGAATTTCCAGAGGGTGGTTTAGTTGAGCAGTAATTCTCATTAAAAAGTCCAGTCCATGTAAAAGCCTACACAAGTGAGCTTCCTCAATACTCTGTTGCACAGTTTTATACTTCGCTTACATTTGGGTTTTTTTTTCCCCCTTCCTTTCAAGATATATGGATTCCCTTAAACTCTTCCTAGGATCTTCCACTCCCTTGGAGGGGGATTTTAAAAATCCTTTCCTTTCTTATATCTGTAACAGAAGACAGGATCCGATCAAACATTTAAGTCCAAACAGCTTGACCTCATTTTCAGAGGAACCTCTTCCCTGACAACCTACTCCTCAAGTCTCAAAGCTAAATAACAAAAGCTTCTTAGCTGGAACCCACAGTTACAATCTAAGGAATGCTTTAAAATCTATTCACCTATTTCTGTCAAAACTGGATAAAGTTTTTAACTGCTCCACTCATCCTCAACATTGGCCTTTGAGACAAGCAGAAGAAAACAGAATTTCACCAGACTATCTCTATGTTCCCAAACCCAACTTTCAGGCACCAATTCTGAAGGGCAGCCCTCAAAGGTAGGTTTTTGTTACTGTCATGTTGTTTTCTTCAAGGCAGGAAACCACTGAAGGAAAGTGAGGATCCTACAAAGGGCCAAGCAGGGTTGCAATCTCCTTTTGCTGTGCCTTGCTTGCTATCAAGCTCTTTCATGCAGGTATCTCTATTTGATGTCTTACAGGCATTTCAAACTCAACACCTGCTGTGGATTGAATGCCACCCCCCACCCCCCCAAAAAAAAACTCATTGAAACTTAATCCCCACTGTGATAGTGTTAAGAGGGAGGGAAATCCTATTATGGTAAGTGAAAGGTGTAGCCTTTTAGAGCTGATTAGATTGTAAGGACTATACCTTCATGAATGGACTGATGCATTTCATGGAGTAATGGGTGTGGTTCTGATGGCTTTAAAAGGAGAGCAAGTGAGGTTAGCTCTCTCTTAGGCATTTCGCCATGTGATATATACCCTGTGTTGCTGTGAAGAGTCACCACCCACCAACAAGGCCCTCATCAGGGCCTGTGTTCCCTGGACTTTGGACTTCCCAGCCTCTGAAACTGTAAGGAATAAATTCTATTTCTTTATAAATTACCCAGTATCAGGTATTCTGTTATAAGCAGCAGAAACAGATTAATACACCACCCAGCACCTAAACACCATCTCATTCCCCCATGCCTGCTCCATTTTTCAGTGCTCATTATTTCAGCAAATGGCAACACCATCCTGCTCCCCAAACCAGAGAGCTTTCCACTCTCCTTGTCCAGCTGATTCTATCTCTCAAATTTCTGAAATCCACCCCACTCCTCTCATCCCACTTCCAAAACCCTATCTAGGCTGCCAGTATCTTTTACTGGTCAATACTGCAACCTCCTAATTGGTCTGCCTCCTGACCAGGCCAACATCCCAAACTGCCATCTTTGCAAACACATTCATTCTGTTACAGAGAGCATGGATTTATAACAGCTTATTTTACATTCACAAATAAAAAATATTTTAGTTTCATCAGTGTCTGCGAGTTGTTAGGCTAATTTAAGAAACACAGGCAGCATATACTATTTGTTATTCCTAAAACACCATTCCTCATCCTTCCTGCCAGTCTTTCAAAGCCCCAATACAGATGTTACCTTTTCCAGGAAGCTGCTTTGTATGAAGACACTAGTCCTCAATGCTAGACAAGAATAACTTTGGTTAACACAGAAGAGTGGAAAGAAAACAGTCCTGCTCTGAAATCCCTGCTCCTCTGCTGAAAGCTGTGTGACACTGGGAAATGTTCTAAATCCTCCGGGCCTTGGTCTATTCATTGCTAAAATTACAACATCTCTTCATAATGCAGAGTAATTCTGAAAATTACAAGGGTGCTTCAAAAAGTTCATAGAAAAATGGAATTAAAGGATAATACAAACCTTCCCATCAACGTTTTGAAGACTCCTCATATATGATACATATAGTCGATACAAACAAATATTGTTTCTCGTCTTTGAACACCTGATTGGATTTATGATCTGCTTCCAATGCAAATCAGCATTTAAGTTTTTAAACTACTTTTACTATTTTCCGTTAGCATTATTATCCAACAAAATCGAAAAGCCCTCCAGAGAAATTCATATTAAATACAAAACAATGCTTTAAAGTTTAAAGTACCATACTATATACAATATGCTATTATTACTTTTCTTACTTCCAAAAACAACATGAGGCACACAGCTCTTGCACTGAGATACCCAATAAATAGCAGCTATTTATTTTGTACCAGTTAAAAAAAATATTTTTGTATGAGAGAGATTTCCCTTCTTGAAAAACACTGTATTGTGGAGACTCACATATGGTAATTATTATCATCAGCACTCCCAACACACAGCTGAGGCTTTAGGCCTGTGCTCACCTAATAAACTTGGATCTGCTCGGACCATCTTCTGCTTTTTCTTCTTCTTGCCACTTTGCACGGCTTCAAAATTGGATTGTTGGTTGTTGCTTTGATTGGTCTGAAATACTGAATGGAGTGTACTGTGGTTCATCCCCCACACAGAGTCCTGTGAAACAAGAGAGCATAACGGAGATTACATGGTAGATGCAGACTTGGTCCACTCTTAGAAAATGGCTGGTTTGTCTTCACTTTATCAAGTATGAGTTTAAAAACAAAAAGCCTGTCGTGGGTTCTGGTAAAAATAAAGCCAAGAGCAGGCCACTGAGCCACCATTTTCCTTCATTTAGATTCAGACATCCCACTGAAGCTCTATGCCTCCACAAAGCCTTTCCTAGTGACTCCAGGTTTCCATCCTGCTGTGACAGCACAACTCTCAGAATTTCTCTTGTATATATGGAGTCTGTACTATCCATTCGGAAACAAAATATACGGCAAATAATCATGAAGAGATCTGTGCACTCTGGCAATGTACACGCCTCAAAGCAGAAGGTATCTTTGTTCTCTGGGCCCCAGGACAGAGAGGACAGGCTGCTGACCAGTTAGCAGCCTATTATCAAACATGATTAAAGTCATGTATATTAGTTCAACCAGCAATCCCAGAAGGGATATGGCCCCAAAATATTGTCCATACACTTTCTACCAACTGGTAAGACTATGAAATAGTCTACCAGCTCCTTGAACTTACTTGTTGCTTTTAGGAGAGGAATTCATTTTAAACAAGGATCAGTTTCAGTGAGCCAGTCGAAGGCACAGATGGTGGTAGTAGGGGAAGAGTAGAGAAAGCACTGCACAAGGACAAGCTTAGTGTGTGTATGCATGCACAAGTGCGTGTGTATATGTGTGCACATATGTGCACTGGGCTTCCATCTCCTATTTCAGTCCACAGAGGAGGCCGTCTCACAAATGCAAACAACCTTCTGTATTGCTATATGATGCCTTCTCCTTTGATTCCTTAAAATAGTTTCCTTAAAATGCTGTTCTAGTGTTCACATCTTTCACTTTCCTTCAATTTATCCCTGCAGGCCCATCTACCCAATTGGATTTTTTTTTTTCCTTTTTGTCTTTTTTACTGACCGGTAACGGGATCGCAACCCTCAGTGTCGCGCCCGTACTGGGGACCAGCAACGGGATCGCAACCCTCAGTGCTGCGCCTGCACCACGCTCAGCCAGTGAGCAGGAACTGGTCTCCACATGGGATCCGAACCCTCGGCGGGAGCGCCAGTACACCACCGGGCTGGCCCTACCCAATTGGATTTTAAATGCCTTGTACTTCATTGTATCTTCCACATCCCCAGAAGTGACCTATTAACAATACTATTTCTAGTATAAGAATTATGGGATTAAAGGATATGAATATTTTTAAGCCTCTCCATAAGCCTTGCCAATGTCTTGCTGTAAACTTGTACAATCAATTCTCAGATTCCATGTTTGTGAATTTACCTACTCGCTGAAATTTGCTTGTATCCTCAAAATCAGTATTCTCAGTCATTCCAGACATGCACATGCACAGAGCAGTGATAAATTTAACACACTCAAGGTACACATACCCAGTTGAGGCAGAACAAAGAAAAACTCTGCCTTTTTGTTTTAACTCTTAAACTGTAAAGTTGTTTTTTTTTTTTCAGTCTATTTAATAGTGCCATGTTTTTCATTTTTGTCCTTTTTGTTGGTAATTTCATTGTTTAAAATGGCCCCCAAGTATAATGCGTAAGTGCTATCTAGGGCACCTAAGTGCAAGAAGGCTGTGCTGTTCCTTATGGAGAAACTATGTGTGTTAGATAGACCACATTCAGGCATGAGTTAGTGTTTTGGCAGAGTACAATGTTAATCAATCAACATATATTAAATAAGGTGTCTTTAAACAGAAACATATATAAAACAAGGTTATGTATTGATCAGCTGATGAAGATGTTGTATAGCAGCAATAGTTTGATATTTGCCAATTCAGTGTTCATGGGGACTTTATACAACATAACTACTGTGAATAACAAGAGTTGACTGTTCCTGTTACATCCCCATCAACAACATATGAAATGACTGACACGCTGCAGTGCTGTCAGTACTGAGTACAGTGGATCCTGAGTGCTGGAGGATTTAACATTTCCAAGTTTTAACTGTTGAAAGTAAAATTTTGAAAGTAAAATTCTGTGACATTCTGGAATTTGCAATCCACATATATGAATCAAGAAAAATTGGTCTGGCAAGCATAGTAGAGAAATTTGCTATTTGGAAAATTCACAAAGGTCTCTGAACATGTAATTTGAAAATATGAAGTCTACATATTTTTAAAAGCTTTGGTCATTGGATATACAAAAATGCTATCTTTGTTTTAATTTTCATTTCTCTGGTTACTCAACATCTAAAAATATTAAGACTCACAGAGGTACTATATACACTATGCTGCTTTATTGCTGCTGCTGCTGCTGCTGCTGCTGCTGCTGCTGCTGCTGCTGCTGCTGCTGCTGCTGCTGCTGCTGCTGCTGCTGCTGCTGCTGCTGCTGCTGCTGCTGCTGCTGCTGCTGCTGCTGCTGCTGCTGCTGCTGCTGCTGCTGCTGCTGCTGCTGCTGCTGCTGCTGCTGCTGCTGCTGCTGCTGCTGCTGCTGCTGCTGCTGCTGCTGCTGCTGCTGCTGCTGCTGCTGCTGCTGCTGCTGCTGCTGCTGCTGCTGCTGCTGCTGCTGCTGCTGCTGCTGCTGCTGCTGCTGCTGCTGCTGCTGCTGCTGCTGCTGCTGCTGCTGCTGCTGCTGCTGCTGCTGCTGCTGCTGCTGCTGCTGCTGCTGCTGCTGCTGCTGCTGCTGCTGCTGCTGCTGCTGCTGCTGCTGCTGCTGCTGCTGCTGCTGCTGCTGCTGCTGCTGCTGCTGCTGCTGCTGCTGCTGCTGCTGCGGTTGCTGCTGCGGTTGCTGCTGCGGTTGCTGCTGCTGCTGCTGCTGCTGACGCTGCTGGTTGGCTTTCTGTTTGGCACGGCGCTCAAGGAACTGCTTGGCAAACTCCTTGGCCTCAGAAGTATCTCCTAAATAGGCCCTGATATAATCATGGACCTCATAAGGAGATTCTACTTCTTTCAGGAAAGAAACAAATGTGGGAACTGCAATACGGGAAGAGAGAACACAAATAATAACAGTGAAATAATGAAATACAACATACAAAAAATCAGTTTCAGTTTTTAACATTTTGTTACTACAGACATTAATGACAGAAACTTGCAGCTACTGTGCTAAATATTCTTTAATCTACCCTGTAGAAATGAAAAAACACTATCATTGCAATGCCCCAAATAATCTGAAACAGCATAGTGTCAAGGACATATTACGCATGTTTAATTTCACTAAATGTTACGTTGGTTGAAACTAAATGTTATGCTGATTGAAATGGTTACTTGCCTAAGACTGAAGTAATCTGGGAATTCATTCTTTCTTAAATTCAATTAATATTCATTAAGTGCTATGATGTGTGTCAAACACCATGAGAGATACTCTTTAGTATCTGTCAGACCTATATCCTATATCCTCCTGGAACATTCAATCCACTGAGATATTCTATGTTTACAGAGAAATCAAATGGAAAATGCAAGCAGTGTGGTATAGGAGAAGAAGCACAAGTATCAGTGTTAGACAGACATGGGTTTAAAACCTGACTCTGAAATATGATGGCTGTGTGACCTTGATGAATTACTTAACCATACTGAGCCTCTGTTTCCTAATTTATAAAATGGGGATAATATCACCTACCTTGTAAAGGTATCATAAAAAATTACTGCAAAAATTAAATAACTGGGATAACTTATGTTAACCCCTGGAGAGTGCCTAGCACATGGTAGGTGCTTAATGGATGGTAGCCATTACTATTATTTACAACTGTTTTCTTTGCAGACTTTCAGACCATTAGATATTGTTACAATGCAGCAAAGGAACCCTTCAATTCCTTTACTACTGTTTTTAACAGCTTCTTGGCTTTAGATAAGATATCATGGGTGGGCTAGTTCAACTTAGCCTAGTTTATCAGTTATGGAAATCCCTTCTGGAGCATGTTGACCAGTCTCTGTTCAAACAAATAGGGGTGGGTGAGGGGACTCACTTCCATCTAAGGCAGATAGTTCTCTTAGTAAACATCTACCTATGAAGTTTGTCTTCAAACTGTGCTAAAACCCTTCCACTTCTGCATATTGATCCTAGTTTTTTTTTTTCCTTTTTGTCTTTTTTCGTGTCCGGCAATGGATCGCGACCCTCAGTGTCACGCCCGTACCGGACCGGGACCGGCAACGGGACCGCAACTCTCGGTGTTGCGCCCGCACCTCACTCAGCCAGTGAGCGGGAACCGGTCTGTATGTGGGATCCGAACCCTCGGTGGGAGCGCCGCTGTGCTCCCAAGCAGCGCACTGTAGCAGTGCGCCACCGGGCCGGCCCCGATCCTAGTTTTATTCCACACAAAATAAGGAAGTCTACTTGCTCTATCGCAATTACCCCCCACTTTCCCAAAGGTAGGAAGGGAATGATGTCACATCACCCCAGCCTTCTCTTGCCCAGGTTGACCTTTGTCCCCAACACGATAGTTACTTTCTTTTGGACCTGATACAGCTGGCAATGTCCCCCATTAAATGAGCAGTATGGAACTATGACCTCCTCTGCCCTGTACATCATTAAGGCAGCCTGAAATGGCATTCACTTTTTGGTAACCACTGAACCTATCTGAGCTTAGTATTACAACACTTTTCTCACAAGTAAAACTATTAAAGAGTTAAGTTATCATGTCAGGTGCAAGCCTTGATCTTATATTTTATCTCCTGAGTTCTGGCCCATCATTCAAATTTGCCAACCTCTTTGTGGGTCCTGCTCTGTTATTCCACATGCTGGGTTTCCCTCCCCAATTCTTACCATCCAAATTATTTGCCGTATTAAGGGCATGAAGCATCTGTTCACACCACTGGGTAAATCCATCTTGGGCTTTATTTACTCCCTGAAAGAGCTTCAGCAACTTTTCTTCTTCTTCTACTTTCTTATTCTGCCGGTTAGACATACCTACAGATTTACTAAAGCAAAACAATAGGGCGGTATTATATTCCCAGAAACTGTTACTATATGATTATACTACAACACCATAAATAGATAATAATGTCTTGGCAACTCTGGACAGCTGTCCAGTAATCCAATGCTTGGCTCTAAAAAAAGAATAATTCAAATATTTGGACTGGATATCCCCTTTAAAACCTAGCTTCAGCTAACAGATCCTAATTCGTGAACACAGGGCTTCTACTTAAAGAAAATGATGAAATTCTTCCCCTGTATCCTCAGGTAGGTTGTTTAACTAAGCCTCAGTTTCCTCATCTGTAAAATGTTACTAACACTTCTTTGGGTTATGATAAAGAATAAAGATATTATACACAAAGGCCTTTAGCACAGTGCCTGGCAAAGATGCTCAATAAACTAACAGATATTTATTGTTCTATTCACAATATATTAGGCCCTCAACCAAGAAAAAACAATCTGACAACACTACCATTTATTAAGTAGTTACTATGTGCCAGGCACTTTATTACTTCATGTGTATTCATTTAATTTTCACAACTACACCTATGAAGTTGTTATTATCTTCATTTTACGGATGAGGGAACTGAGGCTCAAAAACGTTCCCTCTTGCCCAAGGTCACACAGCTAATAAGTGATAGGGATTTGAGTTCATGTATTTAACACTAAAACCCATGCTCATTCAACAACATCGTATACTGAAAGATGAAGATGGAATGTAACAATTTACCATAAAAATAAATAGGTTTAAGATTATTATAGAGGCATTATCGTATTCATTATAATGTAAACAACTTAAAAATATAAACTTAGAAAAAATGCTAAGAAATCTAGAGAATACTTAGAGTAATGTTCACCAACAAAAATATTATTTTATTCCTAATATTAAGTGGTTACCATGTGATAGACAATAGATTAAGTGTTCAGCAGTAGAAGAAGCCTCTATAAATAATAAAAATTGTGTTTCTAGGGGGAAGAAAGCAATCACCATATTTATGACTTCATATGCTTGGACACAGATGAAAATAGTAAGTAAAAACTAAATAAATAATTACCTTGCTCTGCCCACTGGATGTCCTAGTTCCCCCTACCCCCACCGCCCAACCAACCAAGATGCAACAGTGTGATCATTTGGAGCCCTACCTGATACTGGTGTTGTTTTTATTTTTATTTGTTGAATTCTTATGTCCCACTTCTTTCACTGCATCATCCCAGAATCCCATGTTGGAGTTTTTAGTGTCAGCATTACTCCAGATACTACTGACTAGGTCAGATGCCCACTGGTTAGGAGGAGCAGTATTTATAGAGCCCCAAACAGAATTCCCAATGCTGGTGTGCAGGCTGGAATGCTGTTAAAGAAAAAGAGAAAAATAATTATGGTTAACAATATTAAAAAGATACTCCACAATAGTCAGAAAAGATAACATAATATTAGCCCACACACCGACAGCTCAAGACCATGAACCCACCGTACTATTCCGGGCTCTGTTTGGTTGCTGGTGCTGTTGCTGCTGCTGCTGCTGCTGCTGCTGCTGCTTCTGCATTTGCCTGGCCTCTTCCTGCTGGATCTCCAGAAGAGATTTAGTAGTACCTGCAGGTTTGCTGACATTCCCCCAACCTGAGAGTTTCTGCTGTTGCTGCTGCTGCTGCTGCTGGAGAGCTTTCATCAATTCCCTTTGCTGGCGCCTTTGCTATTGCATAAAAATAGAAGCTAGCTCAGGATTCCTGTTTTTAGATAATATGCAGCTATTAATGTCCAGTATACTAAATGGAATGCAAATACATAGTAGCTATGTCAAAGTAACCTAACAGGGTTAATTCTTTTGCTGCAAATAAAGATGTAAATTGCTAGAGGTACTAAGAGGAGAACAGAAAGATCAAATGCAGAATTACTTTTTAAAAATTAAGTATGTCTTTTGGTTAAGCATAGAAATGAAACACTTATGTTTACTTCCTAAAGCCCCACCAAAATGGAAGTAATACAGATTTTTTAAAAAGCATAGACCCATAAGGACAAAGGGAACAGAACAGATTTCAAAAGTTGGAAAGCAGAGAAATAATAACCAATATAACAGTACCAATAAATTGAAACCTCAGTAAAGGAAGGTCAGAAACAGGCAGATTCATACAAAAAGGTCAGGAATCGGAGGTGCTAAATATTTCAGAGGAAGACTGACTGAAGGTCTATAAAAAGAAGCAGTAAACCCCAGACTGCCTCCCTGACCCCATGCAGTTGCACAACTGTCTCTCCTTCACCCCGGCAGAAAACTGAAAGTTTCCTGTTTGGAGAGACTGAAACAAATTGGTAGATCATTCTATGGGGAAGCCAACCAGCACAAGGTAATACACCTATATATAGGCACCAACAGATGGGGGACTCCCCCAACAGAAGGGCCCTGCCAGGAACCATTACAGGGAAGCCCACTTCGATGGCATACATACCAGAACCTCCAATCAGCTTTTTAAAGTGCCTCATTTGGAAATGAACAAATAGCCAAGGATCAAAAAATATTTCACATAAGATTCTAAGATAAAAGTCAAAGACCAAAACAAACATACAAAATTCAGTGAAAACAGGGCTGGCCCGGTGGCGCACTGCTACAGTGAGCCACTTGAGAGTGCGGCGGCGCTCCCGCCGAGGGTTCGGATCCCACATACAGACCGGCCACTCACTGGCTGAGTGAGGTGCGAGAGAGCAACACCGAAGGTTGCAATCCCGTTGCCGGTCCCGGTCCAGTACGGGCGCGACACTGAGGGTTGCGATCCGTTGCCGATCACGAAAAAAGACAAAAAAGGAAAAAAAAAAAAAAAATTCAGTGAAAACAAACAAGGGAATATAGCCTTTTAAAAAAGCTATCAGTAAGTAATATCCTTAGAGAGGTAAAATTATGCATTCAATAAAATAAGAAAAAGATGCTATAAAAAGAAATATTTAAAGAGCAAAATAAGGACTCAAAAATTTAACATAACATACATTAAAAGCTCAACAGGACTGAAAGATAAAATTGAGGAAATGGGCTGTCCAGTTAGCTCAGTTGGTTAGAGTGTGGTGCTAGTAACATGAAGGTCCAGGGTTCAATCCCTGTACCAGACAGTTGCAAAAAAAAATAAAATAAAATAATTAAAGACATGCTCCATCAAAAGACATAAAAAGACTAGAGATGAACAACAGGTGAGAAAACATGGGAAATCAAAATCAAGCCAGGGGAACACACACATGACAGGAATTCAAGGAAAATAGAATAGCTATGTAGAAAGCCAAGAATGTACAGACTGGAACAGGTTAGAGGGTCTCAGAAAGAATGCCTCCAGGGAAAAAAATGAAATTAAGTTATCTTAAGTTTCTCTATGTGAGAAATATGTATTGGGTGGCATTTTATGCCTTTTGAAGGGTGTAGGAGGACTTAAAAATTCAAAGAAAACTAATCAAATAAAAATACAAAGGAAGTAATTATTAACTTCTGCTAGACAAAAAGGTAACAAGAAAAGATCTGTGATTCCTACTTATTATCACTATTACTAATTTTTCGCTCAGGAGAGACTAAAATTATTGAAATAATTTCCAGCCCTTAAGGGAGAGATATACTCTGCTCTATATCCGTTTGTTGATAGCCTTGTGGAAAAAGATGATTACAGAAAGTTCAATACTTTTTTTTTAATGAAGGTGGGAAATAAGGGAATCTTCACGATGAAGAAACATTTTAATGACATCAAGCACACTACATGGTAAATATGGATAGACAACTGCCACTTGTCTTTGTGTATCCATAGCTCTCCAATTTCAGTGATCCACACAAACCCAGACCTAAAGTGACAACTTGCATTCTCTAACAAACTGCTCTAATTTAAATCATATCCACATAAAGCACATAAAGTCATCTTTTTTCAAAGAGGCCTCCCCAGACCATACTACCTAAAATCATATCATTATCAATACCATCTCCGACTCCCAACACTCTCTCTTACCCATTATGCATTATTTTTCTGACATTATCACTATATAGAACACCATATGTTTCACTTAATTTTTATTTTCCATCTCTCCTTGACTAGAAGGTGAGCTTCATGAAAGCAGAGAATTTTGTTTGTTTTAGACTCAAGTATATTTCCAGACTATAACTGAGTAGGTGCTCAGTAAATATGTATTGAATGAATGAATGAGGTGCTTAATGGAATGCTAAACCAAACCATGTCTCCTGTCAAAAACTGTTATTCCTTTCCCTCGCCAGCCTTTTCTCACTCTTTTGTATACTTCCTAATCTAATGATAAACTACAGGATACAGATTTAAAAGTAGAAGTACTGTATTTCTGTCATAATATAATTTTCTAGGCTAGTAAAGGAACCCTATACCCTTTAGAGAAAAATGTATTCTGTATTCTAAACATCAACTTTACAAAAGGATATTTATACAAAACTAACCCACAATTTAGAACAATTTATATACGAGAGGTCTTCAAGAAGTTTGTGGAAAGATTTGCACTATCTTTCAATTCAATTTTTCCATGAACTTTTTGATGTGGCCTTGTTCTTTTATTTCGAGGTATTCACAAGAGCTACATACAGTAGGGGCTGGCTGGTTAGCTCAGTTGGTTAGAGTGAGGTGCTGAGAACACCAAGGTCCAGGGTTCAATCCCTGTACCAGCCAGCCTCCAAAAAACAAAAACAAAAACCAACAACGACAACAAAAAAGGGATAGCTGGATAGCTCAGTTGGTTACAGTGCAGTATTTTAACACCAAGGTCAAGGCTTCAGATCCCCATACTGGCCAGCCACCAAAAAAAGAAAAAAGCCACGATAAAATCTTAAGGAAAATTGAACATTTATGTTCCCAATATTAATGTTATTTTTACTAGATCCTTCATATTTGCTAGGGTGACCAAATTATAGGTTAAAGAGTTTAAAAGTGAAAATCCAATTCTGTCACACAGCAATTCTGACAATAATAATTGTCTTCAGTAACCACTAACCTGTAATGCACACTAAGTATTCTGTAACACTGTTTGACTACGCCACTTTTACTTTAAAAATTTACCTCTTCTCGAAGCTGCCGTTCTCGTTCTTCTTCTAGTTTTTGGATTTCAGCCAATGACAGTGTGGCCTGGGTCTGACATGCTGTTGTATTGGACTGCTGGCCCCACGTTGATGAAGAAGGAAGCTAACAAAAAAGGGAAAGTAGGAGAGTTCATGAGGAAGTGTGAACAGGAAATGAAGAGGCAATAATGCATTATGTACAGCCAGAACATCCATGCTTCCCTCAACTCCATTTACAACATTCAATTCAAATTTCCTTCTTCATTCCTTTTACATACTTTTCTTCCAGTCAGTTCACTTCTTCTGCTTAAGTTTATATACTGGCCAAGCCTAAGTTTATTTTAAAACAAAACAGACACAAACACACATATTTGATATACTATTTGGGGACTGTAAATTTGTTACATCTGGCACTGGCATATTTTGATTTGTTACATCTGGCACTGGCAATATGGAAACAAAAAGAATTTTAATCCAAGAAGGCAACAAAGGACATGATGTGCTACTATCTAGTGAAAGGGTTAAGGACAAGATTTCTGAGGGGAAATCTACGGTAGGTAACTGATGGGAGATGCTAGGCATAGTTCTCAATCAGTCTTTTACGAAAAGGAGATACTGTTAACCAGCCTGTAGCTTCTAGTCATGAGCATTAACCTGTTTATTTTTCTTTTTTTTTTTTCATTAACCTGTTTTTAATCAAAAAATATTTTTCCTAATCCTTTAAAATAACTGACTAAAATAGAGTATAAATAAACATCTGAGTCCTGAATATTTCAATGTTCTCAAAGCCGGTTATTCTAAGAAAATCCCTTGTTCTTTTTAGCCAGAAAAAAATATACTTTAATTTTGAGGCATCTTAGGGCTCTTAAACAAAAACAGTAAAAAACGGGCCGGCCCAGTGGCGCACTGGAGAGTGCGCCGCTTGGGAGCGCAGCGGCACTCCCGCCGAAGGTTGGGATCCCATGTGGAGACCGGTTCCCGCTCACTGGCTGAGCGCAGTGCGGGCGCAACACCGAGGGTTGCGATCCCATTACAGGTCAGTAAAAAAAGACAAAAAGGAAAAAAAAAAAAAAAAAAAAAAAAAAAAAAAAAAAAAAAAAAAAAAAGAAAAAAAAAAAAAAAAACAGTAAAAAACAAATCTAACCAGGCTTTTAAAATACGTTTAATGAAAATAATACATAAGCATGGATCAAAACAAACAAAATGCCAAATGCCCCCCCCCCAAAATGGATCTATAAAGCAGAAATTTCTAACAGTGGAACTGATAAAGGGCATAAACAGTTTAAACTGTTGCTGAACAGCTGTCCAAACGAATACACTCAACACTTCTGAACATAATAGAACCTTAACATTTTCTGGTCAATATGATAGTTGATAGGGTATTTCTCTCAAAATGCATCTGTGCTGGTGTCAGGGAGAGGCACAGAGAAAGTTAAAAAAGGGGACTGGTGCCCTAGGTAAGCAAACCGAGCAAAAATTAACTCTTTTTCTCCATTGGAAATAACACATTTGGAAGGTGCTATCAAGATCAAGTAAGACAGTAGCTCTCAAGCCTGGAAGCATCACATGATGGAACCTGTAAAAATGCAGATACCCTGGCTCTACCACACCTAATGAATCAGAAGATCCAAAAGTGAGGCCAGAGAATGTGTATTTTTGTAATTCTGATGTAACAGATCTGTCAGTAACCACTGATATTGTCTAAAATCCCAGTGAATGTGTCACCCTACTGTACCCAGGAAACAATCTCCAGCCCTCTCCAGTGGAACCTCAGTCAGCACCAGGAAAAGATGCACTGCCTCCAGAAATGACAAATTCCACTGTCCGGCACTTCTAAGATTCTTCCCATTGCTGTGCTGAAATATACTCAATTTATATTCTCTCTCTCTCCACATATATACCTACACACACACACTACAAAGTCTGTACTCTATGATTTCATGGGTCTGCTTTCTGGGGTAATGCAGACTAAACCTAAGTCTTTTTCATCTATTAGACTGATAGTTATCTGTAGATAGCTATCATTTTCCTTAAGACTTCTTTGTATATAGAAAATATTATCCTGTAGTTCCTTCAACATTGCTTCAGAACATTTTTCAGTTCAGCCCTTATCCTATACTGCCCACTGAGAGAACTGTGGTTTGTCAATCACGCTTTTTGGAACAACCCTTTCCCAAATCTGAAGCAAACGGTAGGCAATTTGGCACACTGTGTGTCCCCTGAATGCCTAATATCCTTCATTAATTTAAAAAAAAAAAAAAAAGTACTCCTCTTTTTCTGCCCTGACGTTTCTACCTTAATTTTCAACACTGTATTTGCTTTAAAAACAATTATGTTCCACTGTTGGTGTTACAGCATGAGGAACTCTGTGGACCTGCTCCCCACCAAAACCAGTGAAATCATCAAAAAGCAACCATTTAAAGTCTCTGGAGGACTGTCCAGTTAGCTCTGTTGGTTATAGTGCGGTGCTGTAACATCAAGGTCAACGATTCAGATCCCCAGACCGGCCAGCCTCCCCAAAACAAGTAGAAAACAAAAAAATAAAAACTAAAAATAAAGTCTCTGGAAATGCTCCTAAGGGCATCCAGCAAATGAAGAAACACTTATTCAAGAAAATCTGCTAAAACAACAAAAGTCGGTGGCACTTGAACCAAGACTCACTCTCTCCCTCCTACTGCCAGCTCAGTGAGACAGGAAACCCACTCCAGACTGTGCCATCAAGACACAGGGCTCCCTCTACCCTATGCCGCTAGTCAGTAGGCTCTCTACCTGGAAAAGGCAACAGTGTTTCTCACCCCCCCTGGGATAATAAAAGACTTTTCATCTTTTCTGGCAAGTCCTTCTGGTATGAGGACAAGAATCTTTCTGGTTTAAGTACTCTGATTTCTACAGAATTTACATCCTGTCCGTGAGGCATGTCTTTTCTGTTGAATTTACTTTTGGTTTTTTTTTTTCTGCACACCTAATTTAATATTTTGTTTGACCTGCACACCTGGCTTAAAATTTTTGTGAACACTCTTATTTTTTGTTTCATTTTGGTTTGGTTACTTGCATCTGTAAATAATTTGGCTCTTTTTCCTTGTTTGCTTCTGAAAATCTTCTGAGAGCAAAAATAAACATTCTAAATGGTGAGCTCAGGATGGCTAATTAAAAGCTACTAGGGCAGTCACCACCATCTAAAACATGGATCCAAACTCCTGATATTCTCTGACAGGATTTATAAGATTATTTTTGCTCTTGAGAGATTAATAAGAATGAAACAAGATCCTCAAAATTCTAAAGGCATGCCAAAACAACCTTTCTTTGGAGATTCCAGCCAGCTGTATACAGCCCATTACTGGGCACATTTTTAAACTAATGGACAAACTATACCAAAGAAAATTCAGAGCTCAAATGGCCATTATTCAAACTCTCTAAGCTTGTTAAAAAATTGCAGCCAACTATAGAGCGTGTAGAGCCTTCTAAATTGTCTCTGTATTTTATTTTTTCTGCCTACTTTGAATCTGTTGACTTTTCTGCTGGGGTTGAGATAAAACTCACTGCTTATGGCATTCCAGCCAAGATTTTAAAAAATAAACCTAAGGGGCTTTCAAGTGAATGGCTTTACAAATTACAACAGTTCCATGGAAACCAACAACCTAGACACCTTTTGAAAGTGTAAATTTACGTGAGCATGGCTAATTACTGCTTAGGGTGATGAAAAGTTAATTGGGGCTGGCTGGTTAGCCTAGTTGGTTACAGCCAGTGTTATTAACACCAAGGTAAAGGGTTCACATGCCCATACTGGCCTGCCAAAAACAATAAGACGTAATTGAATGATTGGTAGGCTAAAGGAAAAGAACTAGATAAGTGGTTATAAATGTTAGTCTCTCAGATCAAACAGGTCAAAATCTTGAGCTCAGAGCAATAATATAAGGTATCTCTCTGTCCAGCATAAAAATTGCTTTGTCTGCCACACATATGCCAGGAAGAGCCGAGGGATGGGGGAGAGAAAAAAATAAACCTTCTAAATGCTTATCCATTTACATTGACTAGTCAAGCAAACCAGACTAACAAACAAAAGATAAACTCATTACTAGTTCAAAGTTACTTGGAGATTTTTTCATTCAGCCAGTGTAAACAACTGAAAATTAAACTCCCTATATTCATTTGAAACTGAAAAGAGAAGGAAGAAAGGGTAAAAGAGAATTTTTTTTTTTTTACCAAACTGCTTTACCCAAAATTTTGGTCCCACAGCCTTCCTAAGATTATCTATTGGGACAAATGAAGTTTAGCCATGTAAACTTGCCCCATTTTGTCAGAAACATAATTTGGATCCAATTGTCTTTTATACACTAATGAGTCTGTATTACTACTATGTTTTACTGTCTCATGCATGACTAAAATTCTAAAATGAAAGCTTTTAAGATCTTTGTGTGTGTGTATACGTGTTTAGGTATATTTACCCACATGTACAAGCATTACATTGGACATTATGTCTACATGGTAAAATGTGGCATAGTAGGCCAGAAACCCCTTAAGGAATTCTACTCAGATTAGCTTAGATAAATGAGTACTCATATAAAATATATAGTAATTAACCCAGTTGCCTTTTAGTTAACATGACTTAAATAAATCTTTGATAAATAAGCTGGTTTTAAACTTGTTGATAAAATAAAAATAAGAGATGGCTTTAGAATTGTGAGCATACATTTTTGCCTGGGTTTACTGATTAGACAGTTTTATATTTGTTTCTGCTAGATGTTTTTAAGTCATAAAATGGTAAACCCAGCCTAAAAACAAAACTATTTTGTATAACACTTTGATAAATAAGACTAATTTAATATTGTTGTTTTAAGAAAAGTAGCTGTAACTTCTGAGTATTAGCAAATTATTCATATATTTAACTTTAAAGTTACTACTTAGGTGAACACCTGATATTCACAGGCTATAAAAATGGTTAACAGGGAAATGAAACGATGACTAGCATTGTGTAGTATCTCAGTTTTCGTAAGTAATCTAGGTATAACTGACAAAAATAAATTAGGCAAATGTAAATAGGATAAATGTTTATAATTAAGTGATAGAGATTCATTAAATGTCTCAGTCATTTCCAAATAAGAGAAAATACTGATATGTGACAGTTCAAAATTCCTTGCTTTCTAGGTTTTCACTAGAAACTAAGGTTACTAAGAGTTGAAAGTCTAATCAATATGTATAATTCTGTATGTAAAGTGCACTAAAAAAGTAAGGTGTGTTTCTGATGAGAAAAATTATAAGAAAAGCATTTAAAAATGTTCTTTATTAAGAAAAAATTTTTTATCTGAATTAAGAGTTTATTTAAGGTTGTTTCAAAAAATAAATTTAGGAAGAAACAAGATAGAAAGAAAGGAGTAAGTAGAAGAGAGAGGTAAAGAAAGTTATGTGTATGAAGATGTACTTTTGGTAAGAAAGCTTAAAAAGAGAATAATTTTTCAAAATGAAAAGAAAAAAAAGTAAATTTTGTCTTAAAATGACTGGTTATTTAAGAAACAGAAAGTACAGGACAAAGCAAAAGGTCTAAACATGTAGTGAAAGCTCTGAGTAAATTGTGGAAAGTTTGTGGAGAATAAATTTATGAAAGAAACGTGTGTGTGATCAAGCTGACTATGATTAGAAGGAAATTATTCATAAGTCTTTCTAAAGATAGAGCTTTGGTATATAGAAATACAAAACTAAAAATTTGGCCACTATGTTAGAACAGGTTTGATTGTTTGTTTTTAAGAAGTACTGATCCTCTCTTAATAAAAAATTACAGGAGGTTTTAATTTTTAATTGCGAAATCTGTTTCTTTAAGTTTTCAACCATTTCCAGAACTGCAGCTTTTTCCTGTTTTAGTTTCTATTTCTGCCACATTTCTTCCTGAGATCCATTTAATTTCCCTAATGTGTGGTTAGAAATGCTGTCCTCTTCGGTTAGTCCTTGAGGTAGTTTTCCTCTTGAAAGCTTCTTGGATTCATATCTCAGAAGTTCAACTTTTGCTGTATTTCGCTGCATGTGATTTGCAGGTCATACATCATTGCCTTCAGCTCTTTCTCCCCTTGAAAAGGTACACCTCTTGCTTGGCTGGGATGACAACTCTCTATTTCAACTTTTTCATCAGCTCCTGTAACTTTTTTTCTCCAGTTCTAACTCTGCTGTTATGGCCTGATGATGAAATGTTTGTCTTGTTGGGGTTTTCTTTTTGGCTGGCCGGTACAGGGACTGGAACCCTCTGACCTTGGTGTTATAACACCATGCTCTAACCAACTGAGCCAAACAGCCAGCCTGAAAATATCTGTCTTGAAGGCCTAGAAAAGCAATGTTTTCTTCTACTGTAACTTGATTCTGTACTGTACTTTTTGCCTTCTTCATGTGCCTGCATTGTTCCGACCCAGGAAACTTCCCATGCTCTAATAGCCATGTAATCCCCTGCTCAAGGTACTAGTTTTCTTGTTTACATTCCTCTATAATATGATGTATACTCATAACCTTGGATATACACTCTTCCTGTGTCTGATTAAATTCAAGTACCTTTTCATCAGGTTAGACTTTCAGGTTATCTGAACAGGCTTCCCATAAAGAGAAGTAATCACACTGCAGGAGGTTTTTCTTTACCTTTTTTGGTAACTGGCCTAAGAAACAAAGACTTTAATGTCTTATCAAGATAATTTCCTTTGTTATCTATATTAGGTTTTTCAAAAAAATTTTTTATTACTTATAAAAGCCACTTTGAAAGAGTAAGGTGTGTGTTTGTTTTTATATCCATGTAACTTTCTATACTGTTTTTGAAGTCTTTGATCATCACTCTGATTAACAGCATAACTATTATTTCACAGTGACTTATGATCCTGTGTTGATAAAATGTCTTAAACCTTTTGGCAACTTTGATGGACTTATATCAATATCAAAATTCTAAATTAAGTCTTTTTGACCTAGAATTAACATTGGGATTTTTTCTAGCTGGGCCCCTGTAGAGATATTAAATGATTAGGCTTATTTGGTAAACTGTGTGAGAAGCACTGTCAAGTGCTAAGTGATACTTGATCTTATTTCAATTACATTTACGGGCATGTTACTGATATAAATTTTCCAAAATTATATAAAATTCTTAAAAATCTAATATGTCATCAATCATAATTATATTGTATATCTCAAAAATAACCAAATTTCTTTGTCAATTGCTGATTATAATGAACTTTCATCAGATTTTTAACCATGGCTATTTTAAGTTCAGTTATCCAGTTGTTTTAATTTTTCTCTAAAAGTATTTGCAATCAGATTCACGGAAGAAAATCTAACAAGTACTATTAAATACAGGTTTTTAATAATCAAGATCAACTGAAAAAATAAAAATTTTCCAGAACTCTAATGAAGAAACTCATGTGTTCATAAAACTGCTAATCAAGATCAAACAGAATAAAAATTAATTACAAGAGATTAAATAACTTATGAAGACAATGTTTTTATGACTTTTATTTGAAACATTACTGGTTTTTTACTTAAATATTTAGTTTTCCAGACTTAAGGAAATTTTTTCTTTTAAGCTATCTGTAGTTTACAGCAATTTGGTAAAATATATTCTTGTGAACAAAAGTGGAAAAATTTGCTTTTTCTCCCTACTTGATCCCTCCAAAATTTGAAAACTGTTTGTATTCTTTTGGCAATATGGTTAACTATATAAGTTCAATAAGAATTTCCTTTCTCTTTATAACAGGATACAACTGGAAACACTGGTTACAGTACCAAGGCTTTGACTGGAATGTCATATTTGAAAATGCGAATAGAATGCCTAGTTTCAAGGGTTCCCAGCCTTACAGTGAGTGAGTAAAAACTGTTACTGGCAGGCCCAGTAACCTCAAAACTATAGATGAAATCTGAAGCCTGCCTTGGTTTCACTTCCTAGCCTCAAGAAGTTTTTAAATCTGAGATTCCATATGATCGATGTAGAGAGAATAAGTTATAAAGAAAAACTATAATACTCTTATTAGATTGTAGCCCTATGCATTGTATTCAAGTTTTTATTATCTACCTGTAGACAGGTAAATTCTTCTAAATTCTTCCAGGTTCTTCCAATCCAACTTTCTTCCAAAGAATTACTAAAAATGAGAACTTCTCTGTTCCTGAAGTCCTATAAGCTGAAACTAGAAAAATTTTAAGGAATACATCTCACGTATGTGTATGTGGCCTAATGTATGGGCCACAAAGAAAATTCACCAAACCACCGAAAGCCATAACTAGAGACATTCAAACTGCAAACCAGGGAGAGAAGCTGATTGTTTCACATTGTAGATAGCTTTTCCCAAGATGTCAGAATAAGATCCTAGACCATAATGACACTTAATGCCTACCTTTTTTAATTGGCAGGACAATGATGTGATTTATACAACTGGTTGTCTTTAAGCCTAGGTTCACAACTCAAAACCATTATATAAACTGGGATTATCACATTACTATTAATTTTACTTTGTATTTTCCCTTTTTAAACTTTGTACCTGTTACTTGTTAAACTTTCACAGAAGTACAACTCCTAACAGAATAATGGACCAACAACTTTGAAATGATAGCAAATGCCTGGGGAAAAGACAAACTTGAACTTAACAATGGACTCCAGGTAGATTTAGCCTGACAGCCACTCCCTTCAAGTTTCCCTTGTTGCTCAAATGTGGCTAAAAGGGTTTTGACACTGACTCCTAGTCACCAATCACTTCCCTCTGCTGTGGGACCAGGCCAGAACAACCAAGGACAGATCTGTCCCTGGCACTGAGAGACAATCAAAAGCTAAATACAGGATGATTGATCAGCGATGCTTTTGGAGAAAGAGCTTCATGAAAAGACCGACTTGTGAAAGCTGTCAGAATCAAAATGGACTAAAAAAAAAAAAAAAAAAAAAAAAAGCCCTGACAAATATGGAAGCTACGGAAGGCCAAGAAGAGAGGACTCCCACACATAAATGACTGATAACAAGATCTATCAAAAAAGACTGTGCAAAAACCACAACCTTGCACCAAGGCCCTTTACCTCCCTGAATACATGCATGGTTTACTGTGGCATGCATATTACTTTTTCTCAAATAAATATCACTTTCTTTTAGAGAGCCTCTCTATTCTATGCTTGTTATTAAGGTTGACAAAAGGAAAGTCTGATGACAATGTCACACCAAATGAAGAATATCAATGCAGAGATAGAAGTTATTTAAAAAAAAAAAAAAAAGAACCAAAAGGAAATTTTGGAGTTCAAAAATACAATAAGTGAAATGAAAAACTCACTAGAGGATCACATAAGTATATATGAACTGGCAAAGGAATTAGTGAACTTGAAGACAGATGAACAGAGATTACCAATCAAAGAACAGAAAGGAAAAAAAAAAAAAAAAAGAAGAAAGAAGAAAAATGAAGAGAGCCTAAGAGAAATGTGAAACACTATTAAGTACTTCAGCATATCCATAAAACCCAAGTACCAGAATAAAGGAAAAAAAACAGAAAAGGATAGAAAAAATATTTTTAAAAATAATGGCTGAAAACTCTCCAAATTTACAGAAAAACATGAATCTACATATCCAGGAAGGTCAAAGTATTCCAAGTAGACTAAAAAGAGATCCACAAACAGTGATATCATAGTGAAAATGCTGAGGGCCAAAGACAAGGAAAACATCTTGAAACCAGCAAGAGAAGACATAATTGTCACTTACAAGGGAATCCCAATAAAATTAATAACTAACTTTTCATCAGAAACAAAGGCGGCCAGAGGCACTGGGGTAAGATATTCAAAGTTCTCAAAGGAAAAATAAAAACTGTCAGCTGAGAATTCTTTATCCAGTAAAGCTATCTTTCAAAAATGAAGGTGAAGGGCTGGCCCGTGGCTCACTTGGGAGAGTGTGGTGCTGATGGTATCAAAGCCACGGGTTCAGATCCCTATACAGGGATGGCTGGTTGGCTCGCTTAGGAGAGCGTGGTGCTGACACCACCAAGTCGGGGGGTGAGATCCCCTTGCCGGTCATCTTTTAAAAAAAACAAAAACGAAGGTGAAATAAAGACATTCTCAGATAAATTCAGAGAATTTGTTGGTAACAGACCTACTTTACAAGAAACATTAAAAGGAGTTCCTTGAACTAGAAGCCAGTAACCCCAGAAAGTAATCTGAATCCACATGAGAAAACAAGGACCACCAATAAGAGTAACCATGTAATTATAAAAGATAGTCTATAACATATAGAAATCTAACATATTTGCCAATAACACAAAGGAGATAGGCAGAGACAAAGCTGTATTGGGCTAAGTAAATGACTATAGATGGCAACTTGAATCCACAGGAACAAATAAAGAAAAACAGAAATGAAAAATAAGGTTATATAACAAAAGCTATGCATATACGAGGGTACTTCAAAATGTTCATAGAAAAGTAGAATTAAAAAAATAATATGAATCTTTCTATGAACTTTCTGAAATACCCTTATATACTTGCTCTTTCCTTTTTCAGGTTTTCTGAGAGATTAAAATTAAAGTAATAATCATTACCCTATATCACTGAGTTTGTAACATTTATAGATGTGATATGTATAACAATAACACCACAAAAGGGGGGAAGAGGGAACATCTATAATAGCGTAGCATTTATATGTAACATCGGAATTAAGTTAGAATAAATGTATAACTGATTCTGATAAGTTAAGATGAGTATGGTAAACCCTACAACAAACACTAAGGAAATAACTCAAAATACTATACTGAAAAAAAATCATGAAAGAAATTAAAATGCTACATTAGAAAATACTTAGTGCAAAAAACAAAAAGAAAAGCAGTAAAGGAAGAACAGACGAACAAAAAAGACATGAGACATAAAACAAAAAGTAAAATAGTAGACATAACACCAATTATATCACTAATATCATTAAATGTGAATGGATTAAAGAATCCAATCAAAAGGTAGAGAGAGACTGTCAAACTGGATTAAAAAAAATAAGACCCAACTACGTATCTACAAGGGACACACTTTATATTCAATGATACAAAGAGACTGAAAGTAAACAGATGAAAAAAGATGTACCAGGCAAACAGCAACCACAAGAAAGCTGGAGTTTCTATACCATTAACAGGTAAAACACACTTTAAAACAAAAAAGTTACTAAGATAAAGAGGAACATTTTCTGATGATAAAAGGATCAGTCAGTCAGGAAGATATAACAATTATATACAGAAATAACAACAGAGCACCAAAATACATGACACAAAAATTGGCAGAAATAAAAGGAGATGAAGACAATTCAGCAATTAAAATTGGAGATTTCAATACCACTTCCAATAACGAACAAAACAACTGGGTAGAATATCAACAAGGAAACAGAACACCTGAACAACACTATAAACCAACTAGACATAACAGACATCTATAGAACAATCCATCTAACAAGAGCAGAATAACCTTCTTCTTAAGTGAACATGGAACATTCTCCAGGATAGACCTGGAGAAAAACTTTATGCATAACATAAAAGAAGTAAAACTTCATGCTAGGCCATAAAACCAACTTCAATAATAAATTTAAAACGATAGAAATAATGCGAAGTTCGTTCCCTGATCACAATGGAACGAAATTAGAAACCAATAACAAAGAAATTTTGAAAACTCACAAATAAGTGAAATTAAACAAAACACTCCTAAATAATCAATGGGTCAAAGAAGAAATCAAAACACATGGGAGACAGCTAAAGCAAGGCTGAGAGAGAAAATTATAACTGTAAATGCCTATATTGAGAAAGCAAGATCTCAAATGAATAACCTAGCCTTTGACTTTAAGCCACTAGAAAAACAAGAGCAAACTAAACCTAAAACAAGCAGAAGGAATAAAATAAGAAAGATTAGAGCAGAAATTAAAATAATACAGAATAGTAAAACAATAGAGAAAAATCAAGGAAACCAAAAGCTGGTTCTTTTCAGATCAAAACTGACTTAGCTAGAGAGCAGAACCAAAGCTCACGAGGGAACTACTCATCTCAAGATCACCCAGAAAGCCTCTGAAACACCTCCAAAACTGCTGCTGAGTTAAGGAGCAGAGGAACCGGCGGCAGCGGCAGCAGTGGAGGAGCCGGCGGCAGCGGCACTGGTGGCAACGGTGCCCTCGACAGCAGCAGCAGTGGTGGAAGCGGCGCCAGCGGTAACGGCGACAGTGGCAGCAGCGGAGGTGCCAGTGGCAGCGGCAGCAGTGTAAACGGCACTGGCGGCAACGGCGCCAGCGGCAGCAGCGGGAGCAGCGGGAGCAGGGGAATCGGCGGCAGTGGTGCCGGCAGGAGCAGCGTGAGCAGCAGCAGCGGCGTGAGCGGCGGCAGCGGCAGCAGCGGGGGAACCAGCAGCGGCAGGAGCAACACCCTGCGGTACTGCCCTGTCACCCAGCAGCCCGGCAGAGTCGAAGCTGACCAGAGAGGTGGCTCTCCAGAGAGGCCCAAGACCCGAGGTAACCACACACGCAAGGCACTAGTGGCCAACTGAGTAGTCACTGAAGTAGCCGTACCAAATTGGCAACCCCAGCAACATCTTAGTCAGGCAACAGTGTCCAACCTGTGGACTGTGAAACCCCCTGCCACAATGAATAAACATCAAAGAAAAGACACCAGAAATATGAAAAGTCAAGTACACCACCCAAAGATAATAAATCTCAAGCTCTAGGACCTATAGAACAAGAAGCCCTTGAAAGGACTGACAAGAAATTTCGAGTGATAATTCTAAGGAAACTGAATGAGATACAAGAAAACTCAGCTAGACATCATGATGAAACGTGGAAAAGTATACAGGACCTGAAAGAGGAAATGTACAAGGAAATCAATGTCCTGAAAAGAAATGTCGCAGAACTTCCCGAACTGAAGAAGTTATTCAGCAAAATAAAAAACACAACAGAGAGTTTAACCAGCAGGCT